TGGTTGAAATCTGCCGCTTTGTCAGGAGGAAAATGGTGAAGAAGCGCCTTCCCTGGAGGCACCTGAGGAGTGGGAACGAACCTGTGAGAACTAATGGGCACGTGGCTGCTCACTGATGGGTTGGGAGGACAATCCCCTGGGCTACTGGAGTTTATTCCTATGAGAAGAGCCCCTAAAATGACTTTCTGGTGCTGGTTTGCTAACCCTGGAAGGAGATGGATCAGCGTGAGGAACGTGGGAAAGCTGGGAAAAGAGGGATTTGAGTGGAAACCAGAGGAACCTGACACTGATTCCCTGACTTCTGCAGCAATGGTACAGCCTCAAGGAGGGTGGCAACACCAGACCTGTCCAGTCTGCAGCCAACAATGGCACAGTCTGTGTGTTCTGTCATCGTTTCTGAAGTCAGAATTGTTTTACAGCGCAGAGAAAAAATCAAACATGGAAAATCCAGCCTTCCTGCCAGTGGGGATGGGTAGGGGTGTGACCTGGCAAAGATTTGCTGAGCCTCACTCTCCTTAATCCTGGATTTGGACAATGTGCTTTCCCAAGTGCTGGAATGAAAGCCTCAGAACCAGACTGAAGTGCTTTCTGGGGTGTAGTAGAGTCGTCCTTTGAGTGATGATACTTGAGGTGAGGCAATGTTTTACCTCGTTGTTTTTAATGATACATTTCCTTTTCTTTTTTTTTTTTTTAATATTGGCATTCAAGCAGATTCTTATCTTAGAGCAGTGTGACGTCACTGGGACTGGCTCAGGCCCCTGCAAACAAGAGTCAAGAATCAGACTCGTGCCAGTAAACTCCATAAGCAGGTGTTCTCCTGGCCTTGGGTTGCTTAAAACCAGTAATCAGGCTTTTTGGGGGTGAGAGAGGATAGAGAAGAGCCCCCCTGGATGCTCTTTCTGTCCTGGGGTTGGATCATTTACAAGCCACTAAAGCTGAATTCACGGCTAGTGAGTCAAATACGTGACAATTTTCAGGGGTGACAGTCATGATAAGACAGATCTCAGTGTAACATCTGCTCCACACCAGCAGGTCTTGGAGTATGGACTAGTTCTCTTGCTTTCTTTACCTCTCAGAATCGTGTTCTGACATTTTCCCCTGGGGTTTTAATGTGAATTTCCCTCTGTTTAAGGCTGCAGATGAGATTTACTCTCCTATAAGAGCCTGGCTTGGGGCTGAGAAACAAATGGCCTTGTGTTGCCTGCAGGCTTAGCAGGGCTGGTTGCTGCTCTCCAAGAGTTTAGGGGAGGCTCTTCATGGAGCAGTGGGAAGGAAGGGAGCTCCTCCATGCCCCTTATCGCACCAATTTTGGTGTTTCTCAAGGCAGATATCAGCCTTGGCTGGGGGTTGGAATAAGGTGTTTGGAGAGATTAAAAAATGACTTGAAATAACCTCACTTTTGACAAGTCCACTGAAAGCACTGCAGCTGTGAACCCAGGCAAGTTACTGGGCCAAAATGTTTAGGGAAGCAGGAGCCTTGCCCTCCAGCTGGGCTGGCTCTGGGGGCCTGAGGTATGGACTCTGTGCTCTTCCAAAAACTCCTATGAGTGATGAGACCTCTAATAAAATGATGTTCTCTTTTTAAAAAGAAATGGTTGCTGCAATGTTCTTTTTCCTGGGTCTTAAGGAGGCCACTGAAGGTTAAGGAAGTGAGGCAAACAGGCTGGAGGGAATTAAAACCACCACTGGTTGGTGCAGCTCAGGAAGGGGTGAGCTGGTGAGGAAACGAGCTCAGAATGAGCCATGTGCTCTGCAGGTCAGACTCGAGGTGTGAAGGGCAGGTGAGGGGCAGCTGAAGCTCAAATTTGTGACTAATTGACCCATAACCTGCCTTGCCAATGAGTCAGTACTGCAGGGAACTTAAGGACGGGCCATTAAACTGAGGTGTTTGCTCCTGATGGATACAAGGTCATGGGGTAACTTAAATTCTGGCCATGCTCTCAGCATCCCCTCGGATTTATTTACTTGAATTTTAAAGGATGTGATTCCTAATAGAGGTGCCTGGTTTTTAATCTGTCAAATATCCATGAGAGATAAATATCCTTGTGATTTTACAGTCACAGGGGGAGGGGGGAGCTGCACTAGCTGGGGCAGCAGAGTGCAGACAACTGTTTGCAGAGGTTTCCTGCCCTGAGCTGTTTTGCTGAACTCTGTTCATCTGCAGGCAAAACGAGCCAGTGCAACACAGCCCATTGAAATGGCTGAGTCTGCACAAAGCAAACAGGAAAATTGGTGTAAAAGCTGCACCTCACTTCTGGTACCATCCACTGGGAGGTGATTTAACTTTGCACCTCACAATGCAGATTTTGCACGTTGTGTGACCTAGAAAATCAAAATGCACAGTTTCTCTGTGTTTCTGCCTCCTGCATTAAATCTGTAAGTCTGTGCCTTGTGTGAACATCTCTGTTGTTCTTCCTGGCTGCTCAGTCAACATCCATAGAATCATAGAACAGTTTGGGTTGGAAGGGAGCTTAAATATCATCTTGTTCCACCCCCTGCCATGGGCAGGGACACCTTCCACTAGCCCAGGTTGCTCAGAGCTCTACCCCCCTGGCCTTAAACACTTCCAGGGATGGGGCAGCCACAGCTTCTCTGGGCAACCTTTGCCAGGGCCTCCCCATCCTCATGGGGAAGAATTTTTTCCTGATGTCTAAACCTGCTCCCTTTCAGTTTGTAAACATTAGGCCTATAGTTTTCTGTCTGTCAGCATTTTTTTTTATTTTTTTTTTAAATCCTGAGCTAAATATTAGAACAGCTCCATCTCAGGGGTTATTGAGGCTGTTGGAGGGAAGTTGGTCCAGCGAAGGTGGAGGAAACTAAGATGAGACTTAAGATCTGTCAGAGAAGCAAATGCTCTACTAATGGTCATGAGGATGTGCTGAAATAGCAGAGCAATGAGCATCTTGTAGCAATAGGAATCTGCAGCTGGCCTGAACTGGAAAAGTAAGATCTCTATCTTGTTGAATATCCAGCTGAAAACACTTATTAATAAGTGCTGTAAGAGGTAGGTCAAGCCCCTCCCACCCTCTGTGTTTTAAAAGGTAAAACTTGGCAGGACGCAGGAAAAAAACAACCCCCTATTTTGCATGTGAGAGCTTGTTTTAAATGCAGTGCATGACAGGGGTCAGTGCGTTGGTTGGAGGAGGTTTTGTAGATATTTTAAGTGTCCTGCATTTTGCTGCTCTGGGGATGTAGAAGGCAGGCCAGAGAACGGTGAGCGCTGAGTGGGAACAGCGAGAAGAAGTTGCTGGGCTTTGTAACTGCTGCACAAGCCCTGGATGGAGGGGATGTTCGGGGCAGGGCTGTGTGCTCTCCCAGCCTGGCTGAAGCTGCACGGCTGGATGACAAACCCTGCAGGGCACGTCACCTCGAACCCTGTGTGACACAGCTTTGGGAGCTCTGGAGGAGAGCCCGGGTGTGAGTAAAGCCAAGCCACGGCGTGCTTTGTGCCTGTTCATCCCGCGGGTGATGGAGCGGGTGGGGTGGCGTGGGGCTTTGTGGGAACGCCACCTTGTCCTGCGAGCAGGGCTGCGGGGATGGGGAAGGCTCTGGGGGCGGGGGGGGTCCTGCTGCCGTCTTGCCGTCCCTCCTCCAGCCCTGCCATCCCCGTTCCATCGCTCTCCCATGCCCTCCATCCCTGCGGTCCCTCCTCCCCGCCGCCAGGTGCCCCTCGGCCGCTGCCTCCGCGGGCGCGGCGGGGGCGGCCCCGGCTCGGCGGCCCTGCCGGCGGGTGCGAGGGGAAGGGAAGGCTCCGCTCCCTGTCCCCGGACCTTTCGGGAGCCGGGAGGAGCCGAGCCAGGCCGGGAGGAGCCGGGCAACGGGAATAAGGTGGGGCTGGAGCCCTCCGGGCTGGGCGCGGGGATGATGATGATGGGGGGGTCGGCTGCATCCCCGGCGGGGAAGGGCGGGATGCGGGATGGGGCCGGCGCTGGGGCTGTGCCCCTGGGATGCGGGTTGTTCTCTCTGGATTCTGATCTCTGGGCTCCTCCATTTTATTGTTTGTACTAAAAAAAAAAAAAAGGAAATAACGGTGCTTTGCGGGAGGCGCCCATCTGGCTTTCCCGTGTAATTTTTAAGCTCTTCCGGGCTGTTCTGCACTGGGTTTTTAGGCGCATGTGTTTATTGTAGAGC